TGTTTTGAGACAAATTTCAACTATTTCTTCCTCAACCTCAATGATGTCAGGAACTGATATAGATGTATTTGCTACATTTTTGGATGATGAGGGTTCTGCACTTAGTTCTGCATAATCTGATAGGTAGCTGTATTTTTCGTTTCTTCCAAACATTTCCCAGCAACTCTGCTTTCCTTTTGTTTCCCTTATCAGTCAGTACACTTCTTTTGTATGTGGGTGGCGGTACATTCAAGAACTTGATGTGTGGCACTACATGAGGTTTCAGCTTGAGTGTTGTTCCAATGATTTTGAAAAACATCCAATTAACGGCACCGTCTTCAAGCTGGAATATCGGATATCACATTTCACAATGGGAACCCACATTGAAATGATCCTCACAGCAGTAGAGGTCATGTCCTGAAATAAATTGCAGATGCACTGCCAGTTTTTCCTGCGTTGGGTACTAGCCGGGACGGTCGAAAAAAGTTTTTCATGCGAATTCTCACTACTGTTTTGACAAATCGGTATAAAACATACGACTACCATAGAGGTTATACGCAATCTTCTTCTCCAATTTTAGTGTCATTACCAAAATATTCATCCCACATATTTTGATAAATGACAATCAGAAATATTTTTGCACTTGTCTAAGAGAGAGAGAATAGATATGTATGTCGAATCTTATATGAATTGTTCACCGGCTGCCTACGTCACGCGCTTTCCCGCGTTTTTCATGTTACGAAATATCGTGTATTTCAATAATTATTTAAAAAATGGGGAAAAAACGGTTTGCGACAGTGAACTAGTTAGGGTTAGTACTTCGAAATAATGAAATAAAATTTTTCACTGAAACAGGCCCATTATTACAACGACCAGGAACTTCTCTGTCCAGAAAGCGCTTGCCCGTAAAGTCGCACTGATTAACCACTTTATCAGAGACAATGTCAAAAAATATGTTGCCATTTCACAAAAATAATGAGAGTCGCTGACGTTAGAAGTGAAACTACAGAAGATATAATAGTGTCGCCTGCTTGTATTTGGAGTCATTTCATTTGCTTTTTTGTTCATCAAAATCGCTATGACTTGAGATGCTTTTGTCAGCAAGCCTATATATGTTACAAATTCTGCCAATGTGAACCATATCTGTCTTATCATCATAATTGCTAAAATATTAACAATAACTAACAATAACTAAAACCAAGGGTTCAGAACGAGTTTTACCATATTGTTCAAATAATTTTCGACAGAAATTCTCGTGTATTCTGATGGAAGAGCAACTAGAAATATGAAATATGCGAATACTGCAAAAAAAAGTGCAATAAAATGTTTCGGGAAAGTTTTTGCAATAGTGACTCCTCATTGAAAAGGTAAGCGAAATTATTGCCGATGAAGTCCGATTGCCTTAGAAGATAAGGGTGTGAGGTAAATGAGTCTCGTAACATCAACCGAAGAATCATTGCCCTATGCAGCCGTTATGCAGAAAATCACGTACAAATGTTTTTCACAATCTGGCAACAGTGTTGCACAATGAAACTTTCATGTACCTTCCTATCCTTAATGATACAGTTTGAATAATTATGTTATCGCAGCATTGGTAATTTTAATTTACAGAAACTGCATAACCTATTACATTGAATGCATTTTGTATAAATCAATATCATGAAGTTTTGAATACAGTGTACAAGAAATTCAGTTTTGTGAAGTAATTTCATATGTTTATTAATATTGTTTCAACATTATAACAGTTTGTTAAGCAAATAATAAGAATTACGGTTTAATTACTCACCATAGTTAATTGATAGCGCCAAAATGATATTCACGCATTGCATACCGAGATCATTATGCTGTTCTTACCACTGTAGCAAAACAGGTGTTGGGTGTTTACAACTAAGCACAACCCGCCAACATCTCTGTCAACAATTGTCTCACAGAACCTATTATTCCGTTTGATATTCAAACATGATGCTCAGGTAACCAGTTAATAACCGCAGTGCACTGAGGGCCGTATACCTTACAGGGTGTCTGATATCGGGTTGTCTATTGGCCTTGACCGCGAGAAGTTGAATGAGGACAAGAAAATATAAAAACTAAGCACTAGATAATATAGAAACTACTTTTTTATCAGTTATTGATACAGGTTTCTCTTTGGCCTGAACTTCTCAACAAGCGAAGCAAGGGGCAGGCCACATCAAAGTGAACTGCTGGAGGCCTTATGGTTCCACATACAATGTGACCCACTTCTAATGGATACACCCCTGTATCTTACGTAATCGTTGGGTAAGGATCCTGAAATTTGCTGGAGCGAGAGATATATTAAACATACACTCTATGACCAAGTGGGGTCATCTTAAGTGATATACACTGCTCGTCAACAGTCATGGAACCATCCCAATTTCCGGAAAATGATATTAGGAGTCAAAATAGATTGAAAATCACTTCGGATTATTGAAAAAAATTCAGTTCAGAACAACTAAATTTTGTCTCACTTCTCATGAAAAAGTGCGACAAAATTTAATTTTTCAGAACTGAAAATGTTCTAGGAAAAATATGAATGGTTAGTGAATTAGGCGTCCTGATTCCGAATCTGAAGTGATTTTCCACCTATTTTGTCTATACAGATCCTTCAACACTCAGCTGTATTGGGATGAAATGGTCTTGACTAACTGTCAGGAAGGCACGTTAGTGTGGTACACTGACGGTTTTAAGACTGATGAGGGCACGGGAGCCGGAATATATGGAGATAGACCCAGAACCAGGATGTGTGCTTCCTTGAGGTATGCTTCAGTATTCCAGGCAGAGGTACATGCTATTGAGGCATGCCTGAGAGAGAATATTGTAAGAGGATACAGAAGTAAACAAATCCCCATATGCTCAGATAGTCAGGCGGCCATTCAATCTTTAACATGCAATAAAATCAGATCAAAACTGGTCTGGGATTGCCTTCAAAGCCTGCTAACCCTGGCTAACCACAACAAGGTAACTCTTCAATGGGTGCCAGGGCATAAGGGAATTGAAGGCAATGAAGCAGCTGACGCTCTTGACAGGCAAGGGTCTGCGGCGTTGTTTATGGGACCGGAACCTGTGTTCGGTATCCCCAAAACCTCAATACGCGGCTGGCTGGCAAGGTGGATGCAAGAAAGACATCAGGTACAGTAAACTGATGGTTGGAACACTGTCCAAAAAAAACAGTGACTAACGACATTCTGAGCCTAAACAGAAGTCAGATCAGACAAGTGACGGGACTAATAACCGGTCACTGACCCTTGAGGAAACATATGCATCAAATGGGCATCTAAGACGAACCCATATGCAGACTATGCAATGAGGAGGAGGAAACTACCACCCATGTAATATTGGAGTGCGAAGCACTAGCGCGTTGGAGATACAACCTTCTGGGAGCAGTAAACTCTCAAGAGGCCTTTCCAAAGAATGATTTGGTGAAGAGGCTGCTAAACCTTATCAAGGTAGCGAACCTGTTCACCTAAGTCAACAGCATGATCAGGAATACAATAGGCCCAAAGGCTGCAGTGTTTTGGGCTTCGAACCCTGACTGATCATTCTGCTATTAATCATTCAATCAATCAATCACGTGAACAACTTCAGAACTAAGCAGTTCCAACGTGATAGAGTGAAAGAAATAACATCACATGTCATGTTGGAATTATCATAAGCGGGCCAGAGTTGCCCAAGTTTCCTACTTATCGATATCTGCCGATTTTGCTTTCAAAAAATATTCATTTTATTTGTTTTAATCAATGTAGAATTGCAATTAGACAATTAAACAATTCCAATTGGTATCTACTACTCGTACCTACATTGAAACTTCCATTTTAAATTTTTCGAAAACGGTGAGTTTTAGTACCTATGTATACTATATTTTTTTGATAGTCTTGGGGCAATGAATCATGGCTCATTTACCTAACACTATGTGTAAATACAGTGTGCAACTATGGAGTTGTGCAAAACCAGATAGAATAAAAACCATATAAAGATTCCAGTCGAAAACACTTTGAACAGTTGGTTTGTACCTCCTTCATATTCAACTAATGTATTTTTTTCTATTACTCTTTGTACAAAAAATTATTAGGATAACATTATAACCACTATAAACTACGAAACCTCTACTCTCATATTATTATGTGCACTTATACTTTTTTTTCCTCTGCAGCAAGCTAATCCCTTGCTACATGTATATATTTTCATGGAAGCAATAAAAATGATTTGAATGTATTCTCTTCTAGAACAGTTTCCACCAAATAACAAATGTTAACTGGCCATCCAAATGATCAAATAGAGAACATATACAGGGACAGACCAATTCACTGAAGATTAAACAAAAAATGGCCCAAAGACATTTTTCAACATGATTAATAGTGATTAGTGTTCTATAAGTGAAAATGCCAAAGGGCATCTCACTTCCAAGCTCAAATTTTCAACTCTTTCACTTAATACTCTAGTAGTAGTGGATTGTAAAAATGCAGTAAATTAAAAGAAATACACTAATCCAATTTTCTATATGGTCAAAATATATTTTTGATTTTTTTTGTCCTCATATCACTGACCTATAAAATACGTTTGATTCCTTTTGTTTCATTTTGATTTGTCTCCCTAACTCTTTGTGCAAAAACTTGAATTTGGATAGCCCTTTTCCCTTCTATATACCGGGTGCTCAATATTATATGTAATAATTCCATCATATTTGAAATCAGGATATTCTCTAGCAAACAGCTACATGAAGTTCTTAATTATATTAACTGTCTGGCCTTACTGTTGTTTTTCAATTCCACCGACAGTGAAGACTTTTCTAAAAACCATGCACAAAAAACAAACTAACCCACTTTAGTAAGAGGTGATTCTTCAAATATGTTACAGTTTAAAATCAATTATATTTCAAATCTCATCAATTGTGGAGGATTTATTATGATGCTGACTGAATTGTTGAAGTCATTTGTCAAAGACCTATTTGTCAAAAAAATTTCAAGTAGGTACTACAATTGAAATGAATAATAAATCCAAATTACCTGACAGTTTGGTAAAGAAAACTCCATATTGTAACAACCCAGTTCCTGATTGATCAGATCCATTAAATCATTAGATTTTTTCCACCAAACCTTTGAATCACCTGGAATAATTTGTATTATTCTTCCACTTGTCTGGAAATCTGCAACCACTCTCTCATTTTTCCATCCCTGAAAATAAAACAGGAGAAATTACTTATCTCAAGTATTTAGTCGGAATGTTTGTGATACATAAACCTACTAAGAGGATTTGTGTGCCTGAAGTATATAACTTTTAATAATTTTCCGGATAAATTTTAAAAAATCAGGTCGGCACGTTATTTTTTATTGTGGTACTAGATAATCAGGTGTATTGCTGAATATTTCTATTTCTGTTTAGACAAAAATATTTGAGTACGACGAAGAGTCGTTAAGAATTATTTGGGCAGCACTGTACCACTTATTACATAAATAACTATAGGTCTGCGTTCGTAAAACCTAGTGCATGATAATTACGTCAAACCGCGCTGTTCAAAAACACATAGTGCAGTGCAAACAGAGTGACTTGTTATGTTTGTATGTATCACAAATTGATATTCATCATACAGGACGTGGAAAGATTTTCTGAATTGAGAAAACATAATCACGAATCTGCGATCAAAGGTCTATAAAAATAACAAGTTTCCATCGTGAATCCCTTGATTGAGTGAAAAAATGGATTTATATACAGGGTTGGGCAAAAGTATGGTAACAGTTTGTTAAGATTATTTTGAATATACAGTGTGACCCACTTATAATGGAACCACCCCTGTATCTTACGTAATCGTTTTGGGTAAGGATCCTGAAATTTGCTGGAGCGAGAGATATACCAAAAATGCACTCTATGACCAAGTGGCGTCATCTTCAGTGATATACACTGCTCGCCAACAGCCATCAAACTACCCCAATTTCCGGAAAATGATATTAGGAGTCAAAATAGGTCGAAAATCACTTCAGATTTGTAATCAGGACGCCCAATTTACTAACTATTCGAATGTTCCCTAGAAAATTTTCAGTTCGGAAAAATGAAATTTTGTCGCATTTTTTATGGAAGCACCCCCGTATCTCACGTAATTGACTTTATCTTTGGACTTTCTCTTCCTCCGGCAAATTTCAGAACCCTACCTCAATAATTACGTGAGATACGTAGGTGCTTCCATAAAAAATGCGACAAAATTTCATTTTTCCGAACTGAAAATTTTCCAGGAAAAATTTGAATAGTTAGTGAATTGGGCGTCCTGATTCCAAATCTGAAGTGATTTTCGACCTATTTTGACTCCTAATATCATTTTCCGGAAATTGGGGTAGTTTCATGGCTGTTGGCGAGCAGTGTACATCACTGAAGATGACCCCACTTGGTCATAGAGTGCATTTTTGGTATATCTCTCGCTCCAGCAAATTTCAGGATCCTTACCCAACGATTACGTAAGATACAGAGGTGGTTCCATTAGAAGTGGGTCAAACTGTATGTACAGGGTGATTTCAAACCGTGGTGGATTTTAAAATGTTATCGTCGATGTTGCCACTTTTTCAGTTATTTCGGAGTTATTATCAACTTCCTCATTTTGAATAAAACACCCTGTATTTTATTGGATTTTCAGAGTATCCCTGAAAAGCTGATTTCATCGATCCATCTCACTTGGGGTCTAGCAAGAATGATTACTGAGATATAGGGTGTTCAAAATCGAGATTTTTCAACTTTAGGATTTTTTGGTGTCGAAACTATTCATTATCGGTCAAAACGGCTTTCATGTCCCTATCTCATCGTTTGATCTACTATCTATGGGTATTTAATGGGAACAGATAGTGGGTGATCAGATTTCTCGATTTCTGAATCTTGAACCACCCTGTATTTGTTTCAATTAAATGTCGGTAGATAGTGAATCAAAAGTTGACGTAGGGACATGTGAGCCGTTTTAACCAATAATGAATAGTTTCGACACAAAAAAATCCTAAAGTTGAAAAATCCCGATTTTGACCACTCTATATCTCAGTAATTATTCTTGTTAGACCCAAGAGTGATGAATCGATGAAATCAGCTTTTCAGGAAGAATCTGTAAATTCAACGAAATACAGGGTGTTCTATTTAGAATAAGGAAGTTAATAATAATTCCAGAATAACTGAAGAAGTGGCAACATCGACGATAACATTTTCAAATCCACCACGATTTGAAATCACCCTGTACATATATCCAAAAAAATCTAACAAACAGTTGTCGAGATATTCACCATCACCTGGTTCCATACTTTTGCCGAACCCTGTACATATAAAGAAATACATTGAGAATCATTATTATCCGATTTGAGAATGTCAATTCTCAATTTCAGAGGATTTTTATTTTTCATGCTCTCCTTTTGGATATTCAACAGATATAATTCTATGTTCGACGTGGCAAATAGCCAGGAAAGTAGTCGTTTTCTGTTGAAGGAGACTGTGAATTCTCAACTTCAGAAGATTGTTTTCAAATTCTTATCGTGTGTTTTCAATAAATATAAATCAATATTCGTCGTGGCATATAGCCAGGAAAGTAGTTGATACAATTTGGCCACAAGTGACAAATCAGGAACTGGCAGACATGCATTTTCTGTACCGGTTTTGTAATGACAATGCACGAGCGGCTGAGCGGGTCGGTTTATTTGTTGATATTCAATACTGAGAGATTGTGGCAATTTTCGACGTATTCGTGGACAAGGCAGACCTTCAATAGGAAATAACATGGAAAATATTTCGATTGTCTCCGATAATGATCCGCTCAGTATAAGGACTGTATCCAGAAATTTGAACGTGCCTAGGGCAACATTCGTGTGGTGGTCGGACTAGAATCACACCACGGTAAGTCCTGCCGCTCGCAGGAGACGACTAAAAAGCAGCCTATAGATGGAAGACGACTAACACCATCGCCCGGTGCGATACCACCACAAAGACCATGGGCGCTGGGAAATGGGTTATACCCATGTTTCAGTACCTGGTTGATGTTTCCGGCCAACCCAACCTAATCCAACATGCCTTGAAACAAACAGCCTACCATCTATGGCGCCAAAACCCTAATCTCGTGACTAGAGCAGAATAGGTTGAAGCCAGGAATACAGGCAAACAATAGATGCATCAAAAGAAACATAAACTGCCAAAATACAACAATACAACAATACCGGAAGGGAAAGCAAACATTTTTGCAGAGATGTTCGCAGCAAAACCCACCTTAGATTCCCAGGGTAGAGTGCCGCTAGATATTCTACCCGTACGCATTTTGCATGGTCTCAAAACAAACGGACCTGATGGAATTCTACCCATTATTCTCCAAAAATGTGCACCAGAATTAACACCCATTCTCTGCAAATTCTCGCAGAGGTCGGACATTCTTCAATCTTGCTGAAAAATGGCTAAAGTCCAATCCAACCGAAACAAAAGTTTTCCCAACAACTATAGGCATATGGCCCTATTACCAATTATATCCAAAGTGATGAAGAAAGCCATCAATGCTCAGGAATCATCAATGAAAGACAATACGGCTTTTGCCATCGAAGATCAACTGGAGATTTAGTAGCATACGTCACCCATATATGGCAAGCATTCGTCCGTGTTTGGCACCAAGGACTCCTCCACAAACTACCATTATACGGCTTACCATCTCACCTATGCCATCCTTTTCTCCAGTTTTCTGAGTTTTTTATCAGGCAGATCGCTTCATGTGGTGGTGGATAGAGTATCCTCTGATACCATAGCCATCAATTGCGGCGTTCCACAAGGATCAATTTTGACACCAAAATTGTTTCTACTTCATATCAATGATCTGTTGGAAGTAACCACTTGCCCCATCCACAGTTTTGCAGTACTCTCCATACTGTGTTCTCTTCCAGAACTCCCATTTCTTACAAGGAAACTAGGAACTCACGACGAAGGCAAGTTAACGCTGTCAATGAAGATCTCGGTGAAATTAGAGCCTGAGGCACCAACAACCTGGTTGAATTCAACGCCAACAAAACTTAAGCCTGTATTTTCTCTAGAAAGGCGGAACTCAGTATGCCGGATATATCAATGTATGGTACCATCATTTAACCAAGTCCACTATATCTGTGCTCGTTATCTCAATCAGCAATACTCTCGTGGGAAAATCTGTCAGATCGATCGCGAAAGCTACTTCGTAAAAAATCGGATTTTAATTCCGTGGAAAAATCTAATTCACACCTCAACAGCTTCTCATGATCTATGTACAATGCACAGATGCGACCTGTTTTAGAATACTGTTTCCACCCAAACATACGCTGATGCTCTCAGAATCTATCTATAGAAGAGCAACTCGCCTAGTGGGTGATGAAACACTCACTATTTCTTTGATCTCATTGGAACATCGTGGAGCTGCAATGCTTTGGAATTCTTTGCTAATGGAAGTTTTCCCAAGAACTTAAAATCTCCAAAAGTTCAAAGAAAATTTCAATACCTACCTCCTCTCCCTATCCTCCCAGGGCACGCACGATGTTCGTCGAACATTATAGGGATTCCCTTTTGTGCGCTCCAAAGGATGAAATAAGTAATGAGAAATTTGAGAACACAACTGGGCAATAAAATATCGAATTGATTGATTTCAGATAGGGAGAATGTTGCAATTCCATTTCACTACCAACAAGTGAAGGATTTATTACCAGGCAATTTTAAGCCAAGGATACAGTTCTTCCATTGGATTTTGGATAATGAGAACATTCTATCGAATCGTGGGAGCGATGAATCCATCTTTTCACCAGGAGAGTATATTAGAAGAATAACATACAATCAGTGGCGCACACAAGGGGGGGGCACTGGGGCACGTGCCCCCCCCCCCCAAAGAACTGCCCACGAACAACACACACAACCATTGCCAAAGCGGAACCTACCAATTTTTCGGTATCCCTATCAACATGAAGATCAGCGTATACCGAAAATTATTCAGTTATTTACCAAATTATAGTGAAAAACTTTCGGTTTCTAAGATTTTCTTTCACAATTGAGATTAGAAAAAAAAAACCGCAAAGCGTGATATATTTTTATGTCCGATGTTACATTTTCAATCATTGCCATTCGCAAGACTTCACATTTCTTTCGGGAATACCCGACCATCAGTCGTCGCGTCGTCGGTTCGGTCGGTTGAAATTCACAGCGGGGATTCGGGGATTCCCAA